CACATTTTAGGACTACCAAGCCCCTTAGTACTACTCGAAATCAATGACTACTAAGCATAGCTACATACCCCGCAATTATCTATATTCAGCAAGCCCATTTTAGTACTATCAAGCATACCCCGCAGTTATTTGTTTCTAGCAAACCCATTTCAGTACTACCAAGCCCCTTAGTAAAACCCCTCGAAACTAATGATTACTTAAGATAGCTACATATTGCAAAGTAATTAATTTTCCCCAAACTCTTTCAGTACTACCCGCACCTCAATACTCAAAACCAATGATTACGGAACATAACTACATAATCCCACAAGCCCATTTTAGTACTATCAAACCCCTTAGTACTACTCGTAACAAATGACTAACAAAGATAGCTACATATTTCGATGTAATTTTCCACCATTCTCATTTTAATAGTGGTACTATACATGAGAGTGGAACCCTCCCTCTGTATTCAGCTCGTTCAGACCTCAAAATGTCCTTAGTATTACTCGAAAACAATGACTGCTGAACAAAGCCCCCTATTTCGAAGTAATTCAATTTCATTAAACACATTTTAGAACTACCAAGCCCCTTAGTACTCCTCCAAACCAATGACTACTAAACATAGCTGCATATCCCGAGATTATTATACTCCACCAAACCCATTTTCTAAGAACATGTAAAAACATAGGGAAATTTATTAAGTCTTAGTGAAGCGAAGGCTCTAGCTTTTACAGAATTATAGTTCAATTTTCTTTAAAATCAACTTAAAGAGAATACATATCTTTTTAGTAAGTTAAAAGCGATTACATAGCATAATATTTTATAATATTTCATTTTTATGTACCTCTCCTGCAATTTTTCCTGTTTTTTTTTTTTATTTATTAAACATTGTTGTTGTGATTTTGCGTTCAATCTAAATGTGGACTTGTACGCTGTGCCCGTCCTCCCAAGCAGTAAATGTTCCTTGTCAATACACTTAAGAGGTCGGGATGCCGTTTCTTCTTCTTTCGTACGATGCTTTTTTCCTCAATTTTTCCCTCTCGGTGGTCCTTGGCTGCTGTGAACCACGATGATGGTTCAGTTTACTTATATGAGCTTGTACATTTTCCGCTGTCATTGAAAAATGCGCCTCCAGCCATTTTTAAGGATGTTTACGAATTTACAATGTGAAAGTGAATTTTCTCTTTTATTTATGGCTCTTCTGTAGAAGAAAAATATTAGGAAAAAAAACTATTTTCTCTACTTCTCTGGAAGTAGTTTTATTGTAATTGCTGCTGATGTTAATACCCATGGTAGTGCCTTGTTGTTGTGATTGTTGTTCTTGCCGTTGCTGTTACGCTGCTGCTTTGTTGTTGTTACTGCTGCCATTACTGTAACAACTGTTGTTATTGTTGTTGTATTGTTATTTAATTGTCGTTACCTCATGGCATCCCTAGAAGCAAAATAACAACAACAATTAGGAAATGTTAACAAACACAGTTTTTCGTATTGCGAGCGGCGTACGTTAATAGGCGACTGAATTCCATGGAACTGGTGTAAGTTCTTAAAGGAATAGAAAAAGAACACAATATAGGTATATACAGATATATGCAGATAAATGATTCAAGTTGTTTACATATTTAGCTTATAAACTTATTCATATGTAAATTGTGCCGAAACGTAAGGTAAATAATTAAATTCATAGCCGTGCCAAAGTAGTCTTTATATGTTAATCAAGCAAGTATATGTGAAGGAACAGGAGTGGGAACGATGTATATATACATTTGTAACAACATTAGTTGTCTCACAGCGAAATAGAACACAGTATATCTATTCTATAATTATTCTATACTAAGTGTGCCTCATGCGTCTTGTGCGCTGTGATGTACATAATTTTTGTACGATGTGTTGGTCACGATGTTGTGTACGTTATTGTGTACGATTTTGTGTACGATTTTGTGTACGATTTTGTGTACGATTTTGTGTACGATTTTGTGTACGATTTTGTGTACGATTTTGTGTACGATTTTGTGTACCATGCTGCCATCATGCCTAAAGAAATTACTTACTTAGTTGACCATTACAAATGTGAGTTGTCCTTTAGTGTGTCCAGTGTGTCCAGCCTCCGCTAACTAGCCCGATCAGTAGCTTGCTGTCGCCAGTTAGTATAAACCGAACACCCCCATATCGTTAGTCACCAGATCCTTCCACCGAAGTTGCGGACGTCCCTTACTGCTTTTTCCAACTGAGGGTATCGAATTAAACACCTTTCTAGCAGGAACATTTTCTTTCACTCGCACAACATGATCAATTCAGCAAAGCCTCGCAAGAAAATCGTTTTCATATTCGTTATTTAGTAAACTTCTTACTTGTATGATAATGTTATCACCTGTATTTCATATTATATAGTATATATATCGTGATTATATAGTTTATTATCTATCATTTTCATTTTAACTTTTGATTTCATAAATACTACAAATAAAATTGCAGTGTTAATGTACGCTTAAGACTTCTTAGCAAAAGAGCTAAGAGCTCAAGTTTATCATCTGAAAAGCGTATAAGTCCAGTATCAAGAAACACTTAATTTGTGTTAATAAGAGACATAATCTGGTATGGACTTATGTAGCTTAAGCTCCTTAAGGGCGTATATATGTGCTCTTCTTTCATTAGTGCAAAATCGTAAAACTTTTCCACTTTTAATTGAATTTGTTTAAATTAACGTTCGACCAAATATTGCATTCGTTCCATATGAAAGTTGGGTTTTGGGAGCTCTTTTTAATGTAAGGTAAGCCCCTACTACTCCATCATCTCCCACTCATTTCCATATTTTAACTGAACTCCTTTACGCTGGTACATATTTTTATTTATGTTTGATGTTGATGTTGCTGTTGTTATTCTGTTTTGTTGCTATTGCTGTTGTTTTTGTAATTTTGTTGTTGTTGTTGTGTTGTTGTTTCTGGAGCAGTTGCACTCGAATTGTGGATATTAATGTTAATGAGTTTGTCGTTTTATCGCACTCCGGTTGATTCTGTCTGAATGGGCTCTGTGTGTGCAGCACTTTTTATGCGCCGAGGCCATTAAAGTAGATTTTCATTTCTATCGATCATTTTTTAATATTTATTGAACGTGACAATATTTCCCATTATTCGTTATTCCGTATCAATTAATGACAGAGTTTCAGTGCAAATGAATACAAAGGAATTTAAAGTGCAGCGCGATAAATTCGCACATAAATAAAAAATTGTGATTATGAACGTCACCAGAGGCACAAAGGACCTCCATGATGCACAATATTTATGCAGAGATACTCTTCCAGTTCACATGAGTTTCTTTTTTGTTGCGTTTTTATGAAAACGTAAATTATTTTCATAATCCCATTTGACTATACAAACTCAATATTTTAGATAACGAAATAAAATCTCAGAAAAAGTTTGTATTTGAAGAAATTTAATATTATTTATTGGAGTAAATATTTATGAAAGCATTTAATACTTTTATTATAAGCCAAAAAAATGTAGGGAAGAATAAATTACATGACGCAGATACTTATTTGCATATGTTCTCTAGAAAAAATTATAGTAAAAATAATAGTTGAAAAACCTATTGTCAAGAAGGACATTAAAATAGAAACAAATATGAACTAGCTTGTTCTTACAGTGAAAGATCTCTCTAGTCCCCTTTCTCATAACCTTTAAAATTATCGTCATAGCTTTTCTTGTTAATATATTAAACTATCTACACCGAATAATTCTAAAATATTCTATATTGATATTCTGAAATTATTCTTATAGTGAAAGATCTCTCTAGTCCTCTTTCTCACAACTTATTAAATAACCTTCATAGTTTTTCTTATTAATATATTAAACTTTCTACACTGAAAAATTCTAAAATATTTTATATTGATTTTCTAAAATATTCTACAATATACCATAAAATATTATAATATTCTAAAATAAAAATGTTGTCTGAATATAATATATAATTTATATATAATAAATATATTGAATATAAAAATATACTCTTATAAAAAAATAAATTTGCAATCTTATTAAATCGTACTCAGAAAATTTAAGCCCTCAAATGAGACTACTGTCAACTACTGTCGGTTAAAAAACCCTGCGAAAAGATAAAACCTTCCTATCAATGATATTTGCCGCAGCTGTAAGAAGAACAAAGAGAGTGCTTCACTCTTGTCAATATCCAGCGTATAAGCGACACATATTAAAAATGTTATGGTCTTAGTCTTCAGAAGGTCTTAATCCGCTTCGAAAACTGGACTTTATTAAACGATTACAGTTATATGTACACATTTAAATCTTTTATTAAAGGAGAGGTTTTCATTGAAGAAAAAATGTCGAAATCGCTTTAGTTTAGCAAATTATACTTTATATGGCACCTTACCATATATTCCATATGATAACAGACTAATAAGAGAATATTCTTATTAGTCAAATATCTTATAAATATCTTAACTAATATTATTCAAACATATCTCTAATTGTCTACCAACTGCCAAACAAACTATTTTAATACTTAAGAAAAGTACTATTAAATTTCATTAAAATGCTACAAATCAGTCATTTTTCAACAGTCGGTTAACAGTTACACTATAAAAGGTAAAAATGTACGTATAGTAGAACGTAGTACCTTAGGGTATTAGTTCTTTTAATATAAGATATACTTGAAAGTTGACCATAACTTCCCTCATCATACATGGACATTAGTAAATTATTGATTGCTAATATATATCCAATAATTTCAACTTAAATAATTTGTTATGATAATCAACATATTGTTTTCTACAATTAGTTTTATAATGTGTTATCTTAAACCCCATATTAAGATTTTATTATAAGATCTGAAGCGACGTTTTTTTTTCAGCCTCGTAAAAATTTTTAAGGACGACATAAAATTCGATGCAAAATTGTTGCGATGTATTTGTATTCGTCCATGGTATTTTATGGGCACCTTTTTCACTACATCTTTCAATGGAATTATTGTAAGGTTCCGTTTGATTTAGATCTTAGTTACATATCATGGAACGTTCACCATATCGAAAAATGTTACGTGGCTGTGTATACACGTAGACTGAATAGAACTTTGGTGACAATTCTATTAGGTATGTGTACCTAAAAGAATATATCCAAATCAGCGCACCGAAATAGATGGCGCCTTATGTGTAGCGACAATATAAAAAGTCACTTTTATATTGTCAATAAGTAGACTACATTCTTTGTGTTTGCAGTTGTGACTTTTTTTTTGGACATATCTACTATAGCACCTCTTATACTGTACATATACTGAATACTGGTATACTGGTATATTGAATACTGGTATATTAAATACTGGTGTACTGAGTACTGGTATACTGGATACTGGTATACTGAATATTGGTGTACTGGATACTGATGTACTAGATATGGGTCTACTGGATCCTGACATACTGGATGCTGGTATACTGAATATTGGTGTACTGGATACTGATGTACAGGATACTGGTATACTGAATATTGGTGTACTGGATATTGATGTACAGGATACTGGTATACTGAATATTGGTGTACTGGATACTGATGTACAGGATACTGGTATACTGAATATTGGTGTACTGGATATTGATGTACAGGATACTGGTATACTGAATATTGGTGTACTGGATACTGATGTACAGGATACTGGTATACTGAATATTGGTGTACTGGATACTGATGTACAGGATACTGGTATACTGAATATTGGTGTACTGGATACTGATGTACTAGATATTGGTATACTGAATCCTGACATACTGGATACTGGATATTCGTATAATGGCTACTGCTTTACAGGATGTTGATATATTGGATACTTGTATAATGGATACTGATATACTCGATACTTCTATACTGGATACTTCTATACTGGATACTGGTATACTGGATACTGATTTACTAAGTACTGGTATACAGGTTAATGGTAGCTAAATACTATTAATTTTTTTTATTACCAAAACTGCAGTTTAACACATTAAAGATTGAATTTGCGAATATGTGTAAATCATACTATAATTTACTAAAATTCGGACTATCACTGCACTCTGACAGCACTTAAATGTGCGAAGCAGGGAATGCTTGATTTGAGGCTTAATTATTTGGAAAATAATTCGAATTTTTTTTTTTTTTTTCGATGAATTTCATTCCCTCCATTGAAATAATTTAATTAAAAGTTATGTAGCTGCGAATTGCTCCATATGCGTACCTATAGACTGGAACGAACGAGGGTGTGTACAGGATTTTATGGGCTTGAATGATAGCAAATAAATAATATTCTAGCAGTCGAAAATGCTTTTTCATTTCACAATTTTAGACACAAAAAATATTCTTTGAATGGCTTTCCTGGCAGTACTGGTTATGCTGGTTGTGCTCGCAGTGCTCGCAGTGCTCGCAGTGCTGGCAGTGCTGCTCTATGACGTAATGAAAAATGAACGAAATAAATCATTAAGCAAAATAAATCATTTCAATTCAATTCAATTCAATTGAATTTCAATTTTTTAATGAAACGACATTTCCAATCCGACCAGACTGCTGACGCAATGAATGACTGTTTTAGTTACTTTGTATGTATGTATATATATATATGTATATGTGTGTATGAATGTATGAATGTGTGTGTATCTATGTGTATTAATGTGTGTTTGTGTGTATGATGTGTCAATGTGATTTCATTATGATTTTGGGTATGTGGATCTGATGCTTAAGTGTGTGGTGTATGGGATACTATAAAAGCCTATATTGCACTTCAAAGGACCATTGATCAATGACAGAAAATGAATGAATAATAGAAAAATATTACAAAAAATAAATGAAAGCAACAAATTTCAAATCATTGCTTACGTCCTCGCAGTCAAAAACAGTGCCAACCGTACTAACAGGACCAACAGAGGAAAAACAATGACGCAAAAACGACCAAGGGAGACAATTGTAGAAGAAACAAAATAATTTGAATGAGTTTTTAAAAACGTTCATAGATAACGAACTAAAGCACAAAAATTAAAATCACTTCAAGCCGAATACTGAACTAAAAAAGCATTTACATACAACATACAACATACAACATACAACGATATTCACAGTAACAACACTGCGGTATACGAGTACTACGAGTACAGTACAAACAAAAAGAGTAGCGGCAAACTACAATAATGTACAACAATCTTTACTTATTTATTTTTTTTTTTTCAATTTTTTTGGCATTTTTTTAAACATGTAAAGGAACTAACTCCAAACAAAACATGGAACCAACAACAACAACAACGACAACAACAACAACAACAGCAGCAGCAACAACACAAACGTCAACAACATCAGAAACAATCCAAGCCCAAAAGGAACAGAACTGAAGTACGGAAATCCATTAAAATTGCGCTGCTCTCTACGAATTCTCTATGTGCTACTGTTCTAATATTTGTAAAATAGTGGCCTTGTGCTGACTGTGGTATGGCGGTATTAGATTTTAGTACTGGTTTGGGTACTGTTGTAAGTACTAGCTAGACCTTGCTCGTACGGCTGGAGAGGAGGTCTACTACTGCTGCATATGGCAGTGGGAGCCGCAGCGCTTCATGTTCAAAATTATTTCGTTGTACATTTTTTCAAATTTTTTTGCCCTTCTGTTTCTATTTTTTACATTTTGATGTTTGCTTTACATTGTTAGATACATGGAATATGTATCTGTAGCACAGATGAAATACGTACAATGCTTGCGAAGAATAGTCGGGATGCCATTCCATTGCAAATCGGAGCACAACAAATCATTTTCGATTTATCCTAACCAACATTCGTGGTTCAAGTGTTAATGAAAAATTCGATCAATTTGCAAATTCACAAAATTGAAACTGGAAAATAGAAAAACATTTGAATTAGTACTGGATGGCTTTGTTTCTGTGTTCCTGTCTGTCTATTATTCGTCAATGTGAGTGTCATATTCCAGATACTTCATATAAAAAACTTCTAAATCAACTCGTACATGCACATGTCAAAAATTCAAATTAAACAAAAATACCTTCAACTATTTTTGAAAATCGAAATGTTGAAACTAAACCTAAAAAATTTTGATCGCTTTTTTTCCAATCAACACAAAGACACATGATACGAGTATCTAAGGAAGACATAAGTACTATCAATAGTTTTTAATTATCTGAACTGCAGCTTAACACATTAAAGACAGAATTTGCATATATGAGTACATCATCCGATAATTTACTAAAATTCGGATTATCATTGCACTGTCACTGGGAGCACTGAAATGTGACGATAAGTACCTCTAACTTGGATGTGTTGAAACTATATTTGTAGTCCTTGAAAATGCTAATTAAGTATTAGTCGGACTGAAATTTGATATGTTTAACTTCGTTGAGTTGAAGATGATAACAATTATAATCTAACTTCGATTTCGGAATGAGAAATTTGGATTTGCAATTCCATTCAAGCTGATAAAGGAAACAATTGTTAATTTAATTAAATTGTAAATATTTTTTATTTCTACACAATCATTAACAGATTGCATTAAGAGTTTAAATTTGACATTTGACATCAAACGTCAAAAGAAAATTCCATTCAATAGAAGAGTCAGTCAAATTATAGATTTGATTTGATTAGATTAAAAAATGATAGGTAAATATTAACAAAATTGATTTACCTGTATCTCAATTAACTGTTTTTCAAACAAATAAATAAATATTGCATAACATTAAAACCCGTAAGTGTTTTTCTACTTATTATAAATTTAAATCCATTTTAATGGATTTGTTGTGCATTAACATTTACATCAGTGCATACATTCATTCCGGTACAGCAAATTATAGTTCAGCACCTCCTTATACATTAAGACTGAAAAGTTTTCGGAAATTCTCATTTAAAATTCGCGCGCTGTATATTTTTCGATATTTTAAGTTTATGTAGTTTGGCAGCACTGTCCTTAATTACTATGCCAAAAATGAGCTCGATCTGTCAGACAGTTCGTTTACGGCAGCTGTTGAAACCAGTTCACCTCAGTAGTGCGTTGCGAAATGTCTTCGACGGTCGTACGACCGTCCTGGAAGGCTTTGTACCACTCATAAACTTGAGTTTTCGATAAAACTGATTCCCCATAAGCCTTTTGTAGCATTCGCAACGATTCTGCACACGAAATTTCGTTCGAAACACAAAATTTGATGCAAACTCTTTGTTCAATATTTTTTTCCATTGTTTTTTTCGCAACGCCCTACTGAGGTGAACTGGTTTCAACAGCTGCCGTAAACGAACTGTCTGACAGATCGCGCTCATTTTTGGCATAGTAATTAAGGACAGTGCTGCCAAACTACATAAACTTAAAATATCGGAAAATATACAGCGCGCGAATTTTAAATGAGAATTTCCGAAAACTTTTCGGTCTTAATGTACACACAGTTTCCCTATTCTATGTCCCTACTACTATGTCTCTAATACTATACCCCTACTACTATGTCCCTACTATTATGTGCTTAACTAGTATGGCTAGGGACACTGAGGTGTATGCCTCGCAAATTAGTTAACAATCAGTTTAACCCAACTACCAATTCATTAGCACTCTTTTTCTTTCTATTCTTAACCTTTCTTCTTGGAACAAAACAAAGCACACACCTTTCCAATCCTTCCATCTCAATTATAGTTATATGCAGGCCCTTAAAAAGAAGACTATACTTATTATAGCTAACTTAAACGAGTAATTGTCTGGGTTTGGATGAAGTAGTAGCATTATATACCAAACCCAGTTTCAGCACAAGTAATAGCCCGTTGCGATTGCAATTGTCAACATTAGCTATTAAAACTATTTTAGCAATATTCATCTTGTTTAAAATATAGACGATTTATTTACATACTAACTTGTAGCTCTAAGGTAACTCTAGTTTGCGGTTTTAGACAATCTAATATAACAGAGGTCGAGAAAGTTAATAACCTAATTTGGCATCTCTCTATGAAACCTCACTTTTCAATACTTGCTCCTGGCAGTCACAGACGAAAATTGATTTACGACGATTTTTTTGGACAGGGAAATAGATATTAGGCTCACATTTATCAGTTCTTTAGTACAAAAAAGGAAACCAAACTGTAACATTAAACTATATAAAGGCGAGGTGTTAGTTTTGGCCTGTCCTGTCGAATCTTCTGTAGTTCATGTCTACCAACGCTCAAAGAATAGACACCGAAGTAGCTGTTGTGACTTTGCTGCAATAAATTTCTTTAGAACCAGACTTGAGTTTTTATGCACCCGAATTTCTTGTAGTTCAAGTCTATCGATGCTCGAAGCGAAAACATCTAAGCAGCTGTTGTGTCTTTGTTCAGGTTTGTTCTGAATCAGATATTTCTAACATTAGTTGCCAGATACTTACATTTATCTATGCGTCCTATAATGACCATCATTCCACTTATAATTACGGGGGATGTGAAATCAGAACAGCTTTTTTAGCTAATTCAGGAGGATTCTTCGACTCTCCTTCCACGTCTCTTATCTATCTACCTTAACGTTATGCCATATAAAGCATCCCGTAAGGTACTCACTTTTCATTAATTAGTATCAGTCAGAAGGAATTTTCGAAGCTCCCATAAGTCACCAAAAATTAAAAATGGTTCATAGTAAGTCTATGAAGAAGCATAGTATACAAGAGAAAAAAATCAATTAAGTATTAATTCCGTTTGAAATGTTTTTGATATCCTTAAAAGTTAGTGGGGGGAGGGAAGGCGTTTTCAAAGAGGAATTCATAATTAACAGTTGCTTTCTGTTAATTTCCAAGCTTACTTCTGTAAAACACAAAAAAAAAAACAAAAATAAAGGAAATTACATTGCATGATTAAGCGTATTCACTTACGCCAGTGTTGTTTACAGTAGGTGTGTGTGTGTGTGTGTTTGTTTGTTTGTTTGTTGTGTGGTGTATTCATTTATAATTTGCATATGTGAAGTAAACAAATAA